GCATTAAAAACAATTAAAGAACTGAGGGTTAATAAAACGATTAGAACTGAGCTTTGTCAAGATCAGGCTGACTGACAACAATATTTATAATCAATATAAAAAGAAAGCAGCAAGAAAACTATTTAAAATGCTATTAAAATAATCCAAAAGATAAGTAGGCACAAAAGGGTGGTAACCAAAGGATGAGCAGAGAGGACACAATGGGAAAATGGCAATCAACACATTGGTATGATCAAAAACTACTCGACAACTGTATGGAACATCAGAACATGCCTTCTTAATTAGGGTAAGAACCTCTCACTGTCTTTGCTATCTTCTCTTTAACCAGTAAATATTCCTAATTAGTTCAGATAGTAAAACAAAAAACAAGAGCACATAAATACAAGTACTAGAACACCACTTTTCTTTCTTTTTTTTCTTGCCAATGTCAAAATTTTATTCTTTATGGAAGAATAATGGCCAATTATGTGCTAGAACACCACTTTTCAATGCAAAATTAACCATGGGGCTAGGGAATGACTTAGCACCAAGGACAGAGTTCAAATTTCAGAATCCCTTCAAAGATAGATGTGGCAGCCTCATCTGGCACTCCAGTGTGGAGCCAGCTAGCCTGGAGTATGTGACAGTAAACAATGAGGAGCTTACCCCAAATAAGGGGGCAAACAAGATCCAGGCCTCAGTTTGTCCCGACCTCCACACAGGTGCTTTGGCACAGATGCATGTGCACGTGCACACACACATGCACAATACACACACACACACACAAAAACAAAACCAGTGCTGAATATAAGCACTTCAATACCACAATTCGTGTGCTAGTGCCCCCTCTGCTGGACCACTGGAGATAAAGAATGATCTAAAATTTGAGATCTTGTTTCTCATGAACTGTGAAGAAAACAAGCTAACTAAAAAGCAAGAGTGTCACTTTGCAGTAGTTTATCTCCAGCTCTATCTAATGCTCTTGAGGAGGAGATACATAAAGTCGTTTCTATGTAACATCAGTACTTTGGAGAATTTTATGGCTGTTTAAACAGCTGGCTATGAAAAAAAGAGGTTTTAACATTATTTAGACTCCACAAATATTTAAGTAACCTACTTCTCAGTACAAAGATAAACTGAGATGAGGTAGATAAATGTTTTTATAGGTAAGTAAGCTATTGTGGGGAACAGTTTTACACCCTGTTCATTAAGAACTGAACTGTAATTCTCTGTCAACTGCTGCTGGGCAGGTTCCATAATGGAAGATCAAGGTTAAGAGGATGCCAGGGTTATTTCTTCCTACCTAAAACACAATCTACACTGGTTTCCAATTCTTCTACGTCTAGATAATTCCAGTTCCCATCAGGTAATCTTGGCCCCCTACATTCCAAAGCCTGTCATATGCCTCCATTTATCATTACTTTTTTCTCCTACTGCTACTTTCTGGTCACCTCACCATTTCCTGTTTTTGGCTTCTCAAGTCTTTTACAATCTACATGATCAAAGTTCCGTTATGGAAGGGAGGGAGGAAGAAAGCTAGAGTAAAGTGGTCCATGAATGTATCTTTTGACTCTAGCGTGCCCTAGATCAGATGTTACCACGCCAGTTTCACAAGAGAAAAGAGCAACAGCATCTGTGACTTTTCATGCTGCTTTGTTTACAGAGCATGCCTGGGTAACTGAATATAAAAAGGAATGACAAACTACCCAAGCTTTCTGTAGGCTCCATAGTCAATTATTTTAAAGACTGATTTGTGTAGTAAAACAAGCCACAGGGGCACCAGACATTTAATGGGAAATAGTCTTTTTTCAACAAATGGTGTTGGAAGAACTGCATAGCTACATGCAAAAGAATGAAAGTCCATCACCACTTCAGACCACAAACAAACAAAAATCTACAGAACTCTTAGAAGGAAACATAGATGTGAACCTAGTGGCCTTCACTTAGGTAATGTTTCTCTCATATATGGCACCAAAGCACTAGCAAAAGAAGAAAAAAAAAAAAAATGCCTTCCTCAAACCTGAAATTTCACCCTTCAAAGCACATCAACAAGGAAATGAAGACAACTCTCAAGTGAAAAAGTTACACAGTTGAATTTGGTGGTGCACCTCTTTAATCCCAGCACATGGGAGGCAGAAGCAAGCGGAATCTCTGTGGGTTCAAGGCCAGCATTGAGAGCAGTTACACAGAGAAACCCTGTCTCAAAAAAATTAGAACAAACAAAAACTAACCCCCTCAAAAAAAAAATCCAACAACTAAAGGAAAAAGAAAAAATAGATTTATAAAACATATAGTGACAACCTAGCTTTAGAAACAGGTAAATGATATAAACATACATTTCTCCAGCATCATTGGCCATCAGGAAGATGCAAATTGAAAGAACAATGAGGTGCCACTAGAAAGCTATGTTAAAAAGGAAAGCTGGGTGAGGAAGCAGAACCTTTAATCTCAAAACAGTGTGTGTGTGTGTGTGTGTGTGTGTGTGTGTGTCTGTGTGTCTGTGTGTGTGTGTGTGTGTGTGTGTCTGTGTGTGTGTGTGTGTGTGTCTGTGTGTCTGTGTGTGTGTGTGTGTGTGTGTGTGTGTGTGTGTGTGTGTGTTGCGGGAGGTAGTAGGGGTGGTAGGACTGCTACAGAACACTGACGGGTAAGCAAAGTGGTATCACTACTCTGATAATGCCACAACTGTTAATATATAATTATATAAACCCACTAGCAATTCCATTTCTAAGAATATTTCCAATATAAGTGAAAATGCATGCCCATACTAAAACCTCTAACATACAGACAGGTGCTCATAAAAAGTACCAATTATAGCCAGAAACTCATGCACACCAACTGACAACTAAATAAAATGTAGCACAATGAATGAGTTGCTATTCAGTAATAAAGAGTAGGGCTGGGAGAATGAGAACCTGACTTTGAATCTCCAGCATCCTTATAAACTTGAGAGTGCCTGTAACCCCAACATTGGGGAGTGCAGACAAGTGATCTTGGGAACCCACTAGCTTGCTGGCCGAGCCAAAATGGCAAGCTTCCAGCTCAGTGAGAGAACTGTTTCAAGGCAATTAGGTAGAGAACAATAGAGGAAACATCTGAAATTCTTGTTTGGCATCTTTGTGTGTGTGTACAAGTGACCAAGTCCCAATATTCAAGTACATGCACCACACACCCACACAAACTAAAGTTAATTTAAAAAATAACATTGTAGCCATGTGTGAGGTCCTGAGTTTCATTCATAGCATAGCCAAAAATAAAAATATTTAAACATTAAAGGAATAAGTGTAAAAGGATGTAAAATAGTAATGCATTGTAACTTTAAGACTGTTTATGCTAAGTACAAAAGAGCCACTGCCACCCCCCCAAACTTCACTTATGTGAAATATCAGAACAGAAGAATTCATAGAACAAAGTGAACGGTTGCCAGGGTTGGAGAGCAACTACAATGGGTACAGGTTTCTTGCTGGGTGATAAAATTGCTATAAAATCAGTGATGGTTATACAACTCTTAAAATGAGCTATACAATGTAAAAAGGTTTACTGGGCTGGGGTACTGAACCTAATGACCAAGGATCCACATGTGGGAAGTGAGACCCCTTTCCCACAAGTTGCCCTCTGACCTCCATACAAGAACAATGGGACACACAATCTTACAGACATACATATGCGCACACACACATACAAAATAAATAAATATATGAAATTTAAAAATAAAAAAACCCACTACCAACAAAATATATTTAATATACCTTAGCCTCCCAAACATAATAGCTTAGCTACACATTGTATTGTAGATGGGCTATTCATTCTCTTGATTCCATGGCTGTTATCTTTAGCCCACTAACTGCCCACTGTACAGGAGAGTACTGTACAGCTAGTTCAGGGAGGCCAAAACTCCAAGTATGCTTTTACTGACTGTGTGCTGTTTTGCATTATCATAGCGTACAAACTCATAAGCTGGGTCAATGTAAGTTAGTGAGCTTTATTTATTTACAATGCTTCCTCCCCCCAATTGTTATAGTTACGGATGACTACAGCTATAGAATAAACTTGTGACAGGCATGGCGGCATACACCTGACTCCCAGAACTTAGAGGGAAGGTCAGGGCAAGATGATGGTGAGTTTTCAGCCAGGCCAGCTACATACTGAATTCGAGGCCAGTTACTCTGTTACACAAGAGCTAGTTCCAGGACAGCCTCCAAAGCCACAGAAAAACCCAGTCTCAAACAAAACAAACAACAAAACAAAAACCCACATAAAAGACTTTAATTTTAAGATAAGCACACACAGCTGGGGTGGGTGGGGGGTTGGGGAACGCCTTTGATCCCAGCAAGCAGGAGGCAGAGGCAGGAGGATCTCTATGAGTTAGAAGCCAGCCTGGTCTACAGAGCCAGTTCAAGATAGCCAGGGATTCACAGAGAAACCCTGTCTCAAAAAACAAAATAAATAAATAAATGAAAAGGATAAGTATACACTTCAGGGAAAACAAAACAATACAAAAAAAAAAAAAAAACCACCTGGGTGGGTTTCAGAGGAAAACACTACTTTGGCTGCTAAAATAGAAAATGTTCATATTAGATACACAGTTTTATCAAAACTAACTATATTTAATAACTCAAGTATAACAAAGTAATTACATTTAACATGCATTGGAGGAATAACTACAAAAACCATTTATGCACAAAGAAAATCAAGAAAAAACTACACAAATCATTTCACAAATCATCTTAGGTTAGTTAACACATTAGAAACTAAGAAACTAGCTCATTCCTAGAAACATGTCAACAAATCTGTAGCATTGCCATTAATGTCTGGGAAAAGTATACAAAACTATCTAAAAGTAATTTTATGGAGTGGGGCACCTTAAGTCATACAGAGCATAACAGCAAAGCTTTCTTTAAACATTTCTTTTGAAAGGTCCATAAATAATGCTCCAAAACCACTGTACTGACAGCTAACAAACGTGAAGACACAAATCCACAAGCAGTTTTTAAATACAGGAGTTAAAAAGTAAGTTTCCTTACCTCATCATCATCATCATCAGAATCATTTCCAAATACTGACGGTTTTGGCAAAACTCGATGCAACGGCTGTGTTTTCTTTGGCAAAATAAGCCCATACCTGCGTATTTGTTTTTGAAATAGAAATCACGCCATTATCTTTAAAGGTTAAAACATAGCACGTCCACTACTTCTTCCGGATGAACTTCCCAAATCAAAACATACCATACACCCCATATAACAGACTTGCTGCTCTGCAATGATCTCAAAACTCTAATGTGTCATGATTCTGTGATTATTATCTATCTACTAGACCCTGGGCCAAACTCAAAACATTATTTTTTACTAAGGAAGAGAAGTAATTGAAGAACACAGGAATGTTTTAAATAGTGAGGTGACAGGCACAAAATTTGCTTTAAAAAAATATGTTCTAAACTGTCCTCTCATTTTCCCACTACTGCGTACTTACACAGTTCATAAGTTCTTGATAATGAGACCCACTTTTTAAAGAATTAACTGAGAAACCCAAGCATAATCCGGGCAAGTTCCCACTCGCTTATTAGGCTCAGCTGCTTTTGTCTGTGAGCATGTCACCAGGGGGATAGCTCCCATCACCATCAATTGAGCTCACTCGCTTTGTCTTAGGGTCTCTGAGAATCCTCATCAGATTCAACTCAGATCGTTTCTCGAGGTTTTTGGCTTTGAAAATCGGAAGGGTTTACACATCCAAGTTTTCATTCACCTCAAGCACATTTACAGTACGTGTGTCTTCCATGGCAGCGCACACCCCGGTTTCCTATATGCCTACCCTTTTCTGTGGCTTCTCAGCACCACACTCCTAACACCAGAAGGGAGGGCGGGAAGCAGGCCCTGAGCGCCTGCCAAGGAGATCAAGGCCCTCTAAGGAACCCAGAATTTCTCTTCTCAGTGCCCCTGAGCGCATCCAACCGGGAGAAACTCAAGCGCGGGGTAGGAAGCAAGACTGAGGGGCCTCAGACCGAGCTTTTGGAAAATAGAAAAGTCTCGCTCTCTGCCCCTCAGCCTAACTTCCTTTATTTCCTCACAAGTTTCTCAAACTTCGGGCTTGCATCCTGGAAAAATGTACGGGGCGGGGGTGGGGAAATCTATGTTGCTCGGGAATCCTCGCCTTCTCCCGCCTCTAGCCCTGGCGGCAGCGGCCCTGCACTTCCGGCGACCTCTGACGCCTCAGCCTAAAGACTCGGGCTGCCTGGCTTCTTACTCCCCAGCCTGACCCTAACTCCCGCATCACTCACTGCCTGCCCGGGACCGCCATCTTGTTCCCGTCTCCGCTGGACGTGGCCGACGCAGACGTGACGCCGACGCCGACGCGGGTACGCACGCTTCTGGTGGCCGGAACTCGCTTAGTGGCGGGATCTCTCCTGGGAATGTTTGTACGACGTTGGGACGCCGTGTCCTGCCGCCGCGTTTTGTTTCGGATCCGTCAGGTAGTCTTGAAGTCGACACTAGGAGGAGACGACAAAATTGGCTCGTGACGCAACCCTGGGAGGAGCCGCGTCACCGGAGATAGAATCACAAATCCAGCCGCGCGCGCCTGCTGAATCCGGACCGGCTGGGGGTGGGCCAGCGATCTGAATTTTAATGAGTTTCCAACCCGCTACCCGCAGATCTGTCCGTCTGTTTTCCTTCTGAGCTGTTCAGGGTAGCCTGCTCTGGGAGCAGTAATACGCCAATGAGAGCCGATTGTTTTCTTCAAGCAGTTTTGCTATAGTCCTGCCTGCCCTAGAATTCAGGATCCTCCTGCCTCAGTTTTCGAAATGCTTGAGCTGCAGGCCCTTGCTGAGAACTGAAATTAATTTAACAACATTGTTGGTGGTGCCTCTAGGCGTAGGGAACAGTGTCTTATCTGATACATTTTTTTACATCTTTGCTTGAGACCATCTTTCTATGTAGTCCAGAATAGTCTCAGACTGCCTCACCCTCCTGAGTGATGGTAATCCATCGTAGGTTTGCCACTGCATTAAACAAAAAACCCCTGACCACCCTTCATCTGCGCATCAACCATTCTAAACTAATAGGACAGTTTCAGAGACCAATTACAAAAAGGCTGTTAAGTCTATACACTTGTTCCTCATTCTCTCTCTCCTCTCTCTCTCTCTCTCTCTTCCCTCTCCCTCCCTCCCTCCCTCTCTCTCTCTATCTATCTCTATCTCTATCTCTCTTGTATTTGGAAGTTATATGAACGTGTGGGATGGCGTTTTGAGGGAGACCCTGAGGTCTGGGTTTATGTTTCAAATGTAGGACGCTTACCCACCTTACCAAAGCCCTGGGTTTGAACTCTAGCACTGCAAAAGAGAAGAGACGTTTTCCCTGTCTGTTTTGGTATAACTGGCTTTGTTTTGATTAATGTTAAGCATAGTTTGCCTTTTTTGACTTTTTACTTGTAACCTGTTTTAACCTGTGATATGTTTATATTTATGTTGGATTATCTCATTTTAGTTGGAATGTTTAAACTATTTTCATTAAAATGATTATGAACACACCAATTACTTGTTTTCCACTTCCCTCATGTTCGTTCTTCACTGCCCATTCGCAGTCACTATTTTGCCTTGTGGGTTAGTAGAGAAGACTTTATAATTCAGTTTATGATCCAGCCTTCATTTGTACTAACCATACTAATATGCTTATAGTGTCTTAAGGTATTACTTTAGAGTCTTTGTAGCCAAGAATGACAGTGAACTTCTGAGCCTCCTGCCCTCCCCCTGAGATCGCGGCCATGCACTGTCATGCCCAGTGAACCTAGGGCACTTCATCACCCAAGCTATGTTCGCCAGCCCTCTATCTTACCTCTTTATCACACTCTGCCTTTGAGGGAGAACATACTACTTTCAAGCATATATGTTAGAAGTAAGGTGCTTGCCAAGCATGTGTGAAGGCCTGTGCTTGATTTCCAGCACCCATACAAAAGCCCACTTTACCACTTTGTTTTTAATATAAAAAGTTTACAATCATATACAGTAGTGGATACGTATGCTCTCAGCACTTAGGGTGTCAGCAGCATGAAGACCTGAGTTCAAGGCCAAGATAAATCCCTGGTACACCATCCCCCCCAAAGCATATAGGTATATATGCCTATGTACTAAATGTTTCTGTCGTCCCTCTCCTGTATTTGTGCTATTTGTCAAATGAGAGCAAAATAATAAATACTTTTGCTTTAAAGACTTCTTGCTGGGTTTTGTTATTTTAAGACTTACGTGTTTATGTATAACTGTTTTTTGTCTGCATGTACATTTGCAGAAGAGGGCATCAGATCCTCTGGAACTACAGTTACGGAGGAGTTGAGGGGCGCCATATGGGTGCTGGCTGGGAATTGAACACAGGACCTATGGAAGAGCAGCCAGTTCTCTTAACTGCTGAGCCATCTTTCCAACCCCTCTTTTCTTGAGACAAAATCTTCATATGTAGGTCCGACTGGACTGGCCCTCACTATGTAGACCAGACTGGCCTTATACTTGTTGGAATCTTTCTGCATTTGCCTCCAGACAGTGGGATTTCAGGTGTGCACTACCATAAAAAGCTTTAAACAGAATATTTTAAAAGTTTAATTTTTAAAAATAAGTTACTGGGAGCTGGAGAGAAGGCAGAGGGCCAGGGTTCAACTCCTATCACTCACATAGTGCCTCTCAACTCCCTCCGGGTAACCCAGTTCCAGATCTAACACTTTTGGCCTCCCAACAGTGCCAGGCACAAAGGTGGTACACTTACATGAAGGCAAGACACCCATATACATAAATGAGTAAACCTTTTAAAAGAAATAAAAAGTATTGTGCTTACCCACATATTTACCAGTTCTGGTATCTGTGTATATTTGTGTGGATATTGATTAATAACTGATATAACACCTCTTGCATTTAAAAAAAATAAAGACAGGATCTGCCTGCTTCTGCCTCCAGAGTATCACCACACAGGTTTAAAAAAAAAAAAATTAAGTATCTGTATTGAAGATAAAGTGCTTACCTTACAAACACGAAAACCTGAGAACCCATGTCTAAAAACAAAAACAGATGTGTACTTGTGGGATAATCTTTTTGTACACTGTGAAAATGTATCTTTGCAAAGGTGCTCTCTGAATGCTATGATAAAGAGCTGAATGGCCAATAGCTAAGCAGGGGAGGATAGGTGGGATTTTCAGGGAGACACAGGAAGATGAGGAATCTAGGCATGGGAATTTACAGCAAATCAGACATGCTGTACTGAGGAAAGGTAAAAGCTATGAGGCAGAATGTAGATTAATATAGCAGGTTAATTTGAGTTATATGAGCCAATGGTAAGAAAGCCTACACTAAAGGTCAAGTTTTCATAATTAAAATAAGTCTCCACGTCATTATTTGTGGCTGTCAGTTCAAGAAAGTCCGATGAGAAAATTTGCTGCAAGTACTTACAATTGTAGCATCGGGGGTTAGGGAAATGGAGACAGACCTTACCAGCCAGCCTTATCCTACTTTGCTTGGAGTGGGCAGAGAGGAAAAGGAGGAAGAGGAGAAGCTGATGCCTAATGAATGATGCTTGGAGGTTGTTTTCTGGCTTCTTCATACAATCAAATATCCCAAAACATTCATCTCTGACCTCATGATGTGAAGGTATCCATAGACAACAGGGCCAATGTTCCAACCAGACTTCTTATTTGAGAAACAGAGTTTCCTTTGTGTAGTCAGGGTTGGCCTAAAATGTAGTTTTCCTGCCTGAGCCTGATAGTTTGGGGTTATAGATGTGTGCTACCATGCTGGGCTTCCAAAGTATAGGTTACTAGAATGGATACTTGCCTAGGTTTGGCTGCTGGGCTGTTTGGGAACTTCCAAAGCTAAAAGAATTGAAAACTAACTCTAAAATAAAGGAAATAGGGGTGAGGTGGGGCTGAGAACTTTCTGGTCTCAGAGGCCCTGTATAACAGGATGACTCAACAAACAGTCTGTGTTGCTTTGCCTAAAACATAAAAAGGGTCAAGGGCAAAAAAAAAAAAAAAAAAAAAAAAAAAAAAAAAAAGCACCCTGCCAGGGCTGTCTATCTCTTGCTGGAAAGATTGAGTGAGGAATTGGTTACACAGGATTGTCCAGTGGGGAGCCCAGGATCCCAGATGATAAGAGCTTCTAAATTGGTATCTCCGGTAATGTCCCATTGCCTCTGGAGCACTGTAATGAAGCAGTCCAAGGTGTTCATGAAACTAGAGTTTTGGTTTTTCAGGCCCAGTGGTGGAGAGGGTTCTTTGCTTAGTTAGCAGTCTACAGTAACAGTAGTAATTGCTACAGGGACTCAAGGACACAGAGAAACCATGAAGACACTCAAGTCTGGGGTCTTTAATTTGGAATGAAATAAAGGCAGAAGTAAACTAATCCAGGAAAAGCTAGCCCATCACTACTGTACACCAGAATGTATAACAATCCCCATCTCTTGGGCTTCCTGGAGTAAAACTTGAAAAAATAATCACATGGAATTGAGAACAAGGTAGCTGTGGGAACAGTAGCACCCAGACTGGAGGATTATCTGTGTAATCATTTAATGTGGGTGTTATTAATGTCACTGTCGCTACTTGCAGTCTCTCAGCTTCTTAGTCTTACCTTCCCCCTCTGTACAATTTCTGCTGACTTTTAGTATGCGGGGAATAGTCTATCCCACCAGCCAGCTCCCAAATAGCCACACAGAGACTTATTGTTCATTATACATACTCAACTGATAGCTTAGGTGTTGTAGAATATTATTTTAAGATGTGTTACATTTGTTTATGCTGTGGAACAGTTGTTTTAATGATGCAAAGATGTGTTGCATTCTTTTATGTGGCACTTGTTCAACTCTGTGATGCTGTATTACTTTGCCTGTCTAAAACACCTGATTGGTCTAATAAAGAGCTGAATGATCAATAGCAAGGCAAGAAAAGATAGGTAAGGCTGGAAGGCAGAGAGAATAAATAGGAGAAAAAGAATCTGGGAAGAGGAAATCTAGGATTGAGAGAAGGAGTGGGGGGGGGGGGAACTCCAGGGACCAGCCACCCAGCTACACAGCTGACCACAGAGTAAGAAGTAAACAAAGGTATATAGGATAAAGATAAAAGCTCAGAGGCAAAAGATAGATGGGATAATTTAAGGAAAGCTGGCTAGAAACAAGCCAATCAAAGGCTAGACATTCATAAGAAAGAATATGACTTTGTGTATGTATTTATTTGGGAGCTGGGTGGCGCCCCCCCAAAAAAAGCCAAAGAGCAAAGAGTAAAAAACAATCAAC